TCAAATATGTCCACCAGGACCTGGCGGCAATATTCAAATCTGTCCACCCGGACCCGGCGGTGATTTTCATCACCCAACGAGTCAATCATATGATGGTTAACACAATATGATTTCAATAATAAGCCATATGAACATTCCACTCACTTTAGTCTTTATTACAAAACAAGTATTTAATAATCATTCTATCCGCGAGTTTTCTATGTTCTCCTTATTATGTTTACCATATGTGTATTTTGTTTCTATTCTGTTCTAATAATAAATATTTCTAGTTATCTTAGTCAAAATATACAGAGCATGCTACTGCTTGAAATTAATTTCTCGAAATATGACTACTAGTTGTTCTAAAATTGATAATGTATTTACATCTAATCGATGTTTTCGAATATTTCAACAAATGAAGATTATTGTAGTGATTATAAATGAATATGAGAAAATAGATTAATGCTTTATTGATAAAAAGAAACTCCTGACGCACTGGTAATATTTGAATCAATGTTTAGTCTATGAGATAATATTCGAACTTTTTGTTTATTGTGCTTTGATGAACCAATAAGAGTATTATTCCTCAGATGAATAACTTTTGATAACTTCAAACAATGCTTTCTCATTATAATATCATAGAAATAATTTGATCTTAGATAAAAAAAAGCTTGACACCAGCATCTTTTATATTAAGGTTATGTTCTATATAAGAAATGCATCTGTCAATGATTTCCTAAGAGCTTGTAGATCTCCTCACTTTTAAACTTGGAAAAAAGAATTGTGTACGAGTCTCAGAAGGTATACGGTCAAAAGAATATTTGATGATTGTCAACATTTAAATGCATGCATTAAACGTATTCAAAAACTTCTCCAAGAAAAGAACACTACCTATAAGTTGTCGAAAATGAATAAATATGAATATTTATATGTATATTAAGCATGAAACAAGTCCAGAAAGGTGAAAAATACAAAGTACGAGCATACGTACAAAATTTGACTTATTTTTATCATATAAGTTTTTGTTCAGTGTGTACTCTTGAGAAGTGAAAAGAAAAATTTTGATTTATTTTCTAATCGATATTTGGTAAAATTTTGTAAATGATGAACGGCAAAGAATATTTGACCCAGGATTGCTAAGTTTTCTGGTTTTTTTTTTAAGAACTTCTTCTTGACAGAAAAAGGCAATGACAATAATTATCAGTGTTAAATGGATTTATGTATCAACTAAATAAAAAATTAAGTCTGCTTGATTTTTCTGAAAATAAGTTAATGAATTTCATAAACAAATTTTGTACCAGAATTTTATTCACTTTTAGCTAGAAAGAAAGAAACATGCTTGTTTTCATCATGAAAATGTGAGATCTATTTGAAATCGAATTTACGAAATATAAATCTTTTACTACAATCCGAGGCAATTGTTTCTAGTTTTGTCGTGTAATGATCTATTATGAAATATTTAATAATGTAAAGTGTGCGCCACACTTCAAATAAAAATTGTTTCATTCAATATCACACTGGTAAGTGATTGAACTTAGTATGAACATGAATCTTTTCTATTAATGATATTTATCTTTAATTGTTATGGCTCAAAAACTATATCTAGTACTATTTTCAATTACGGTTTTGATAAGCAAATACAAATAAAAGAAGTTATTTACATAACAGCACTTGCCTAATATGAAATAGATAAAATAAATGTTTGTGACTATTGAGACCGAATGTCTTTTGCAAGGGACATTTTATAGCTCTGTAAGGAAAAAATCTTTTCTTCTAACTGACAAATAGTCATACCAAGAGTTTAGAATCTCTATTATAATAATAGACTTTTTCTGTTACCAAAAGAATCTGCTTCATCTTCTAAGGGTTAATATTTTTCAAATACACATAATACTTGAAATAACAAAAATTTTGATAATTCATGGTTGAAGACGATTGCTTGACTTTATAGTTTTTACTGGCATTTGACTTGTGGAATCATTGTAATTTATGCCAGATTGTGTTAAAATGAATGTTAATAAAGTAATGTTGAGGCATGTTAACGATCTACTATAAACATGATGATAGAAATCGATGGAACATTATTTAACAAAATTTTCAACTAGTTTTTGAAATTTAAAAAATAACTAAATTTTTAGATTGCAGTAAGAAGGAATATTCTTTGTAGTGTATTTATGAACTTGGTTTTTTATGAATCCAAACTTACTATTTAGTCTCTTATTTCGAGTTGACCAAATTTTACTTTATCATAGGATGTTATATACCATAGTTTACAGATTTCAAGTAGTTACTCGTACGAATGAATGAGGGATAAGTTTCCTGTTCTTTCTGCTTATACCTAACTTTTTTTCTAATGATCTGTTGAGTTTGGCTTGTGTATGTAGCTGTAGATCTTTTGTTCGATGCTAATCAGGGTCACATTCGATATCCATACCCCACACTTGGAAATTTCCAAAGAAGACAAAAGGTTTAGCAATCGTCAACATACACTCGAACAAAGTTGGAAAATGCCAAGTGCAAGCAGAACATCCAAAAATAATATCTATACAACATGGAAAAAACCGTGGAAGAGAACAGCACACGAGCTACTATTTAAATAGAAGCCAACCTCAACAGAAGTGCAAGTTGTTATTGTCGATTGATTTAAAAGCAAATAAACTAAACGACAGAATAAAGCAAAGAAACAGGTAAAAGAATACTGGACAAAAAAGGTAAAGCAGAGAAAGGAAGTATTTTTTTGTAGCCATAAGATTACGAAGACATGGCAAGTGAAAATAGTAACAATTCAACTAAAGACTTCATTGTCATTTGGTTAGATCGTGGTGTTGGATGCAATAAAAGTAATCAAAGGCTGAAAACAGATCTACGCGGTTTGATTAGACGTCGTTTACTAACATTTGATGATCCAGATAAATGCATCGACCATATAACTGGTGCATTCATAACAAAACAAGTATTTCTTATTACTTCTAATACATTTGGTGAACACATAGTACCACTTATATATGAATTATCAAATATACAAACCATATATATCTACTGTGGTGATAAAAAGAAAGCTGAAGCGTGGACTAAGTCATATAAGAAAATTTCTGGTATATTTACAAAAAGTCATGAATTGTTAGATAAAATTCGTAATGATGTTGGTGTATGTAACGATGATGAAGATTTATCAATGAGTATATTTCACATTATCGAACGAGAAAAGTCGCTACAAAAGTTATCTAGAGAAAGTGCAACGTTTGTGTGGTATAGGCTGATATTAATAGTTCTCCGATTAATGGCTAGATATGGTGATTCAAAAAGTGAAATGATTGCTGAATGTCGAACACATTATCACAATAATATTGCTGTGCAAAAGCAAATCGATGACTTTGAAAGAGATTATTGTCCGACAGACGCTATGCAATGGTATACACTCGACAGTTTTGTATATCGATTATTAAACAGAGCTTTGCGTACAGAAGATATCGATAGCATTTTTAAATTTCGATTTTTTATCTATGATCTTCATAATCAAATTGAAGAACTTTACAGTAAATATTTAGGCAGACTATCTTCCAGTACCAGTCATAAGTTAAGGGTTTATCGTGGTCAAAGTTTGACTTTGGCAGAACTTGATTTACTTCGAAAGAATGTTAGTGAACTTATATCAATGAATAGCTTTTTAAGCACTACATTCAATGAAGAATTAGCTAAAACATATGCTGGTTCAAATAATGACTCAGATGATCCATCATCATTTCAATCTGTTCTTTTCATAATGGATATTTATAATATGAGTAAAGAAACAATACCATTTGCTATTCTGAAAGATTCGTTGTGTTGTCAAAACGATGGAGAAGATGAAGTCCTTTTTTCGATAGGTGCTATCTTTAAAATTCAATCAGTTGAACAACAAAATGACATGTGGCATGTCCATTTAGAATTAAGCAAAGAACAAAACGAACTTAGTCAAAATCTTTTGGATCACATGTTGAAACAAATTGGATCAGGAATAGATCTACTGTCATTTGGTTGGTTTCTTTTTCGAATGGGTGAATATGAAAAGGCCGAACATTATATACAATTAATGCTTAAACAACTTCCATCGACTGATAAAGGAATTGGAAATGCTTATAATTTACTTGGTCTAATCTATGCAGATAATAATAAACTAGAACAATCTGTCCAATTCTATGAGAAAGCTCTTGATGTTTACTCTAAATTGAAGTGTCAGAATAGTTCTCAAGTGATTGCTATTCATTGTAATCTTGGTTTAGCTCATTTAGCTTCAGACGACATTCGTAGTGCAGAACTACAACTAGACGAAGCCGAAAATATTTTATCCAATATGGCACAACCAAAAGATCCATTACTAGTAAATACTGTAGAAAGTTTTAAAGCTAAAATTGAAACGGCATATGGTAGTGGCGCCAATGCTTTGACAAGTCTTGAATTAGTATTAGCAGATAAAATCAAGCGTCTACCACCAAATCATCCTTCAATAGCTTCAACATGGAATACAATGGGTCGTGTGAACGAAAACATGTACAATAATGTAAATGCACTTAAATGTTTTCAACAAGCATTAGATATCGGAAAGAAAGGTTTACCAAGCGATAATAAGGACTTAGCTGAATATTATACAAATGTTGCCCGTATTTTTGAGAAAGAGCGCAACTATAAACTTGCTTTGCAACACTACGAATCAGCATTGGAAATTATGGAGAATTATCGGGAGGAAGAACATGAAAAGATTATGGCACTAAATACAAACATTATCGAAGTGAAAAAGAAAATGCGGTAGATTTATTATCTTTTTCCATTTTCTATTTGTCTTGTAAATCTTTTTTTTTTGTTTTTGTTTGTTTTGATGAGGGAATATAAAGAAAATATGAATGGCTGTTACATTTATCTAGTCGTACTATGTTTGGTGCCGAATAAGATAAATATCATGCTTCCAATTATGAATCACAGTTAAAGATGATTATATATTTTGGTCAGTGAATAATTAGAATATAGTCAGATTATCTTTTATACAAATATTGGTAAAATGTTCAAATTTGATCACAAAAATGAAAAATAGTGCTGTTTACGTAAAGATTAACTGACTACAAGAAAAATACTTTTAAAAAATTGCGGAATAAACTCAAACAAGGCAGAACAATACATTGTATTACAAAATCAAGTTTAGTCTTGGCTGATCGACATTGCTTTCTTTCTTGTTAAGATCCTACTGGTGACGGAACTAATGAAATTCAAATTTTAAATTTGTTTCCGCATTATCAATGGAAAGATACAACAATTTTCCAGGGTTTTGACCTTCTTTGTCTTTATGATTGTATACAAAATATTCATTGTATATACAAAGAGACCACAATTCTAATTCGCATCCTAGCCGATTTACTGTTGAAGTCTATGTGATTCACTGCAACATGCAACTTTTGAATTTAATTTAATGAAAAACAATTAATTTATAGTACCTTTGTACATGACCAATAATATGTGATTCAACATTGGGTCATTTATATGTGGAAACTGTATTGGATTCCGATATATGTAATCGTTTGAGAATGGGTGAAGTATGACAAGGCTGAACGTTATATGTAATTAATACTTACACCATTCTCATTGAATGATAAAATAATTGGAAATACTTACGACTTACTTGGTCTTATTGATGTCTGTAATAGGGACTGCCTTTAATGAGAAATGTCTGTAATGGTTTCATCCGTTCCTACGTACCTATAATAAGGAAGGTGAAGGGAAAGGAAGCTACGAAATGTCCAACACAAGACTTATGTTAACTATTTCCTTCGAAAATACACATGACTTCCACAAAAACACTAATTTTAACAAAAGATTGAGTTACTTATCCACATTAATCGAATAAATATACCTATTTATATAGCAATAAAAATAAAATAATTTTCTTTAGATATTATTTGAAGCATGACACTGAGTCACTCATTATTATGCGACGATCAAATCATCCTCATGAAACGAAATTAACAAATAATAAATGAGAATTTTTTTTCTTGCAGTTTAGCTTCAAGTTGGTTGTTCTTCACATTTTCTTCTTCCAACACATACTGACTTTTTTGCTATGTTGGAAAAGAACTTCAGAATAAAATAAACAAGAATGAAAAATGCAAAAAAGCATTATTAAAACTATGTTTATGAATTTCGTTTCTATGATTGAGAATTGATGACGCATTCATCTCAATCTATGGCAACAAGTCAGAAAAAAACGTGTAAACAAAAACAGAATCAAAACTAGTGTGATAAAGAGAAATCATACTTTATTCATTGTCATTATGAGCGAACAAAAACCAACAGATTCTATAGTATTGTCTGGAAGGTTTCATCGAATTCTAGAAGATTTTCTTGAGGGTGTGGATGTATAAATATGAACAGCATCCACACTCATACCCATACCCTAATAAACGCATACTTTTTCTAACACTGTTGTCGATTTACTGACAGAAAATCTCTATCTTCATTTCAGAGAAAAAAAACTGATCTTGATCACAACACGATTTCAGAGGTTATTAATGATAACGGGACACATGTATAAGAAATACTGATATGATACGAACTTCGAGATCAAATCTATCTCACTTTCAATTCGCTTTATAGAGCATGATTTTGATTGTAAGGTACCAAAATGTGCTATTTTTCAAAGTAGTTACGCACGTATATCATATTGATTGATTTAGCTGTTCTTGCTACTTTCATCAGTTGAGTGCTTTATTTCGATCTTTTTTCTTTCTTTCAGATTCGTGTAGGATAATTTCCTGAAATTTTTCTTTAAACCGTTCCCTGCTGAAGTTCAAGTTTTTATTCTTTGTGTATAAGCTAGCGCTGCTCGAAATCGAAGCCAATAACAAGTTATTCTACCCATAATCGACTTGAAAAATCCTTTGTTCAATAATACTTCAGATTTAGATTTTATTTTTGATATATTCTTTTTATTTCTACTCAAAAAAGGGTGACTCACTATATATAAATAAATTAATACATAATAAAATATTGTAGAAGCGGCTTTTATGTTCATATCATGTATCTCTGATGACAATAAAAGCCATTTATTACAGGTTTCAAAAAGGACAACAGAAATGGATCATGAGAAATGATGATGAAATAATTTGATACGTTTGTGACTAGTTGCTATGTTCGATTCTCTATTCATATTCTTTCCAAGCCACAAGTGTACCGGATAACAATGTATTTCTTCTGGCATTTCACGTTTCGCCCAATATGAGTAGTCATCCTGCTCCATCTCATGTCATACATCTTTTTCCATTTGCGAAAGCCATGTAGTGATGTCCTGCATGAAGTTACTACCATAAGGTACACATTGTAATGTGACTCTTGATAAATGTTCAGCACGCTGCAGTAGTATTTTAGCATCATTCACATACGTGATATCAGCACTGAGATATCTTATGTGTCGAGGCAATTTTATACAGATAGCATTGAAAGTTATTAGTTTCATCCTCTCAGTTCCATAACAATTAATTATAAGCGAGCGAAGATTGCAGGCATGTTTGAACAGAGTATTCATATCCACATCCAAACTTGTTTTGAACTTACATTCATAAGAAAAATCCAACTCGAGTGTTTCAAGATTCGATAGATTGACGGTTGCTTGAAGATATTCAACTATGTCGACCGGTCAGTGTTTATAAATCATCAGATTAAGTTCTGTAACATGCGGAAATAAATAATTTTGTCTGGACTGTATCTAAAAATAAAGGTAATACGTTAAATGTTCACGAAATCGAGCGCTAAACTGTAGGTGTCATTTCGATAAGATATTAAAGGATAACAACGGGTGGTTCAACAGTTCCTGGAAAAGTATCGAAGCTTATATCTCCATCATTTTATAGGTTAGAAAAATTTTTCTTTTTTCAGGTTAATCCGTGTATAGACTGTTTTATTTGAGTAGAAAGGCAAATTTAGAAAATGTCATGTTTAAATAATATTCAACTTAAATAAAAACAATTTCGTCTTGGTCAAGTAAAACATGTGAAAGAAAGGGAAACATTGATAAACACATCTGAGTCTGGCATAAATCAAGATTTAACTATCGTCAAAATTGCACCACTTCATAGAAAAACAGTAACGAGTGATATGCGTTTGGACAAAAGTGTTTTGTCTATGATTTTAATCAATATAAAAACAATCAATTCACTTTTAGAAAATTCAAAATTTGACTTGACTAAAAAGTTTTTTTTTTTTGAGTTTTCTCAGAAAAACTATTCATCCGAAATGAAATTACTGACTTCGGAAAAAGAAAAGTAGTACTCACGTTTTCAGCAGTAGTATCATTCATCTTTTGACTTAAATGTAACGCTAATTGATGAATGTTGGCGATGGTTTCAAAATTGTTATCAATGGTATTCGTTGTCGAGTAGACAATTTTATCACCGTGATGATAAGGTTTAAAATGATTCTGGAATATAGGTATCGAATGAAGGTGCAACTCCCACATATCAGTGTCATCATTGTATTGAACTGCGCATCGAACAATCCAGCGCTTAATATCAACCCAGAATGGTGTTTTGAATGATGCGATCAATGATTCCACAATCGTATGGTTAGGTTCTTGAAATTTAGAACAATGAAAGGAAAACTCGAACTTACACAACAAAGGTAGTTTTGTTCGAATGAATTCTTCCCACCGAGAACCATTACATAAAGAACCATGTAAAAAGGATCCACTTTCTAGTCGAAGATGAGTTAGCTTAGGTACAAGTAAAAGAAATGATTCTATTTTGTTCATATGCATTCCACAAATTCCATATAATGAGAGAGAAGTTAAAATCATTGATTGTTTGATGTCTGACGGTGTATTATCAGCCAAATAGAATGAAACATCTAAATTGCTTTTTACCACAAGTGTTCGCAAATTAGGTAAATAGCTAAATATAATGTGAAATGTATTCAAGGTAATAGAAGGAACTGTCAAATATTCTATTGGACATTGTACAGGCCATTGTATTCTATTTTCAAGAGCTTTGTCTAAACAATGTGACAAACATTGTATATTTAGTTCGAGCTTTCGAACAACATGTCTTGATAAAAATGTTGATAATGGTTCTGCGAATTGATCACCGTCATGGTAGCCAAGATCGTCATCAATGATTGTCGGTGATCTTAGAGATAATTTCATGGGAAGATTTTCAAATAGATATAAGTGATGAATACTACTATGGAGACTTAATGTATGTAGGCGAGTAAATTGATTGATACGGAATACGGAAAAGAATAATTCAGATGGATCAGGTCCGATCCGGTTGTTCAACAGTGTTAATGTGATGACATTTTTGGGATCAATAACACTTAACATGATACGTAAATCAGATTTGGATACGAAGAAGAGATTCAATGCATATCGATTATGGGGTGTGTGGGTGTGGGTATGGGTGGGTGTGGGCGTGGGGTGTGGGTATGGGTGTCGGTGTGGGTGTGGGTGTGGGTGGGTGTGGGTGGGGGTGTGCGTATGGATGTTGGTGTGGGTGTGGGTGGCTGGGCGTGGGTGTGGGTGTGGGTGGGTGTGGGTGCGTGTGGGTGTGGGTATGGGTGTGGATGGTGTGGGCGTGGATGTGGCTGGGTGTGGGTGTGAGTGTGGGAGTGGGTGTGGGTGTGGGTGTGAGTGTTGGGTGTCGGTGTGGTTGTGGAAATGGGAAGATGAACATGCACACCTCCACCCACACCCTCCCACACCCACCCACACCCACACCGACACCCACACCCACCCCACACCCACACCCACACCCCACCCACCCACACCCACACCCC